TCAAAAGTTGTACGTCCATAGGGCTACTTCTTCTTCGCATACTTCTGCTCAGGGCTGGCATTGAGTCATAACCTGGACCAGAAACATATACCCACTGAGTGTGCCAGAGACGACTACACCACAACTCCACCTCCGTCAGATGCAACACGTGCAATGGGTGGAGGCATCTCCGAGTTTGCTCAGGTCTCACGACTCACAGGCAATGGACCACTGCGTACGTGGCTCCTTGCTGCGCCAATCGAGCTGCCTCCACGGCACCACAGAGTCCGCGTGAGCAACTCAACACTAACAACCGCACCATATTTGTTGGGTAAAATTATCAAAAAAAAAGGCGTTTGACACAGTCAGTCACTCCACTCTACTAGAAGGCATTGAGGCTTGCTCTCTAGTGACTTTAACGAAGATCGGCGAATTATAAGAGTGGTCGACATTCGCCAATAATATTTAGAGACAAAACTAGCAAACCAAGAAAAATTGAACAGGGGGTACCACAGGGTGGTGTCATATCCCCACTGTTGTTTAATTGTTATATTTCAAAGCCCCATCAACCACCAGAGGGAGTCTCCATCGTCTCTTACGCTGGCGACTGTTTTATAATGGTGTATGGGAATGGATTGATGACTTGTGCTCGTAAGTAAAGGGATATCTTTCCGAGCTTTATTGCTTCTTCACTACAAAGAACCTAGCCCTGTCCCCTACAAAATCCTCGGCAACCTTATTCACCACCTGGACGAAGGAGGTCAGACTGCAGCTGAGTATTCACGTCGATGGCGAACTAATTTCGACGGTGAATAACGCGAAAATCCTCGGAGTTACCTACGACAGTCTGCTCTCCTTCTCGACGCATACAACCGCCATTGTCAACAGAGCACAGAGCCGCAACAAGGTCCTCAAGTCGCTGGTCGGCAGCACTTGGGGCAAAGACAAAGAAACGTTGTTGGCAACATACACGGAAATTGGCCAGCCGGGTCTAAATTATGCAGCGCCCCTGTGTCACAGGGACAAAGCTGCAGACGAGCCAGAACACGGTACTTCGGACTGCGACTGGATGTCTTCTGATGTCGCCCCAAAACCACCTACACGACGAGTCGACCATGCTTCCCATCAACGAGCATAACACAATGCTCTGCAAGCAGCTCCTAGTAGGGTGCCACAGACCCGGCCCCACGAACAGACAACTGCTCGCAGAAGAGCCCTCGCCAAGGCAAGTCAAGAGGTATCTATAGAAACTTTCATAAAACAACCTCTGTACCCAACTGCATACCGTCAGGCCCTAAACGGCATCCACAGGAAGTCGGTCTGGAGTTATATAGACTCTAGACTTGTGAATGCCGTTCTGGGCACACACTCACCTGACGAGGACGGGACAGAACTTTGAGTATCTCGGGAGCTCCTTCAGCCTTCCCTTGGCTGAACCGCTTCAACAACAACTTACTACGCAGAATTCTCCTTACTGTGGTTCCGGAGAATGACAGATCTTCTTTCTGCGTAGTTGGCCTTCGGCCGCGCTTAGGGATTATAACCCTTACAACGCCGACTTCTCCTTCCTGTGTTACCAGAGAAGAGGGGCAGTATTTCTTCGGCCACGCTTAGGAATTATAGCCCTTACTACGCAGATTTCTGTTCGCCGGAGAAGAGAGGAACTTATTTGAATTAACTACAAAAGGTGTAAAGTTGTCACTTGCTTATAAATGAAGAAGTATCGAAGTCAAATCGAAGTGATTTTGTTTTTGTTTTATTCGCTTTGCCGGCGGCTCCACTATGTACATATGTACGTATGTTTTTACGTATGTAAAGCTAGCTGATCGGGCATGTGTTGCAAATCGTACGATTTGGAATCGAAGAGATTTGCTAAATATTTTTTAATATAATTAATGCAAGTAACAATAGTAAAGTAAAGTAATCTTCGATTTAGAGCCACATTTTTCCGGTTTGTTAAGAATTCTCCAAAATAAATCTTATAAGTCGCACCGATTTCAAATCTACGAGTTGCAGCACATGCCTGAATACGCGTTTGTGTGTTTATGTGCCGAC